GCGGCGGCCGGTGGCCTCTTCACCTGGAAGCCTAAGACTTCAGCATGTCACCACTGCCTCTGATCTGTCGAACCCGGGCCTTTGTACATCTCTTTGTGCTGAGATTATATGCGATCTCTTGCTTGAGTCCTTGCCAGTATTGCTTTGTTGAATTTCTTCGGTCTTGATCCTCACATACGACAAGGTGCCCCGTGGTTGCATCGGACTCGGTCAGTGCTTGTAGAGTTAGACAGTACAGGTCCAGACCGTCACCGACTCACCAACTCCTCCTTGCCCCCACATTATTGAATCCATCTCCGAATCAACCTCAACAGCCAAGGCGTCGCCTCCCTGCTTCATCGCTCAATCTCTACACCTGTACACCGCCCGCATCGGTTCTGCTCTCCAAATTGACACCGTGTGCCTATGTGCGTGTATAGCACGTACTCCATACGCGCTGTCCGTGCCTTTGCACGCACCGCAGTCGCAGCCCTCATGTTCACCGTCCACGACCCCGTCGTCACGGCCCTGCACGTCCGCCGAGCCGCGCCGCGCCACGCTCGCCGGTTTCGCCCTTCCGTCAGTGGCCTCCCTGCCGCCGCGGATCCGCGTTCGCCGCGTGCGTCGGCGCGCCGTCCATGGCGCTACCCCTCCGATCTCTCCGAACGCCTTCGCCACGCCCGGCTTCGTCTTCCGGTCACGCTCTACCATTGTCGGTCCGATCGCGAGTGAGGTCGTCGCCTCCGCAACGTCCTCGTTGTCGCCATCGATCTCATCGCCACGACTGACGATCTCTTGTCAATGCGCGATCCTACCTCGTGTTTCCTTCTCCACATGTCTTCTTGATCCAATGCTGAAACCTTCTGCTCTGATACCACTTGTTATAAAAGTCAGTCGATATAGCGGAACAACGACTAACCTTCCCGATCACTTCAGTCGTTGATCACCCAAGACATGCCAGATGACGATACAAGAACACACGATATTTGTTAACGAGGTTCGGCCGAAGCCTACATCCCCGGAGCTCTGATTATGGACGCTCCTCCCCAACCAACATAGCGCCTAGCCGCTACTAGTCTATGGCCACGCCGCCATCGTCTCCCTGCGTGTCTACGCTACATTGTAGTCGCTGTAGTTACATTGTGGTGCCCCCCTCTCTATTTAAGAGAGATGCCGGGTTACAGAGTTCGACTCTAACTCCACCCCCTAACTCTCTATTTAAGAGAGATGCCGGGTACTCCACCCCCTAACACCTATTACAACTCCAAGTCCAACTGTAACTAAATAAGACTGTATATTCAACACCTATTCTAACATGCTTCTCCCGCGCTGCTGCATGCACCTCTCCATGGATGGGCTTGCGGGGAGTGGAGGGAAGGAGTAGGGGTGGATGCCAAGCCAGCTCGGCTCGACTTGCTCTAGCTCGTTTAGTTAACGAGCTGGCTCGGCTCGGCTCGTTATCTAAACGAGCAGAAAACGCAGCTCGGCTCGGTCAGTAGCTCGAGCTAGCTCGTTTCGGCTCGCGAGCTGGAGAGGGCAAGATATCAGACATGTTGCCCTCTCCAGCTAGGACAATGGAACGTGAGCCGACGAGCGGCCTGCAGCGGCGAGGACGAGCACGACGGTTGACGGCGAGGCAGACAGGCAGCCCGCAGCGGCGAGTTCGAGTGCGATGACCGACGACACAAAAATCTGCGGTGGCGAGGTGACAGCGCACGTGACGGCCAAGCTGGGGCGACGCCGCGACGCCGCGACGAACGACGGTGCTGCAGCCCTCAGCGCAGACTGGTAGATGGTCGCGACAGGGAGGTGGCGACGGCGCAAGCACTAGAGACGGGGAACGGGAAGGAAGGGGCGGCGCGGCGTGGCTGCGAGGTGCGTGCTGGGCGATGAGCGGCAGACTGGCGGCGGATAGGCAGAGTGAAAAGGAGAGATCGAGACTCTCGAGAGGCAGGTAGGGTTTGTGGTATAGTAGTAGTACTTTACATGCTCTGATGGGCCACGTGGTCTTGTGTGGGCTTTGTGGCCTCGTGGCCTTGTGGGCTTGTGGACTGGGATTGCTGTTGCCTGCTGGGTTGTCAAAGCTCATTACGGCTCGCGAGCAGCTCGAGCTGGCTCGTTATCTCTAACGAGCTAAAAGGCTAGCTCGGCTCGTTAGGAAAATAAAACGAGTCGAGCCGAGCTTGTCGCGAGTCGAGCGAGCTAACGAGCTACGAGTTTTTCGTCCACCCCTAAGAAGGAGGATGCCGGGGGCAGAGGGAGGGAGCACGCCGGCTACCTCCGGCCTTCCGCTCCTCGTTTTCCTCGTTGCCAGTTCGCCACTCCCTCCTTGCTCAGTTGCCCATCTCCACACGGGACTGGTGAGGTGCATGCCGACGTTGCTTTGACTTGGTGAGACCATGCTGACGTGGTGTCCATATAAATCAAAACCAGTCTTTAAAACCGCTCCAGGGGATAAAATGTTCAGTATTAATAGTTAGGGGGTGTATTATACCCGGTTTTGTAGTTCGAGGGTGTATTTTATATAAACATATATAAAAGTTTGGGGGTGTACAATAGACTTATCCCTTTTTAAAACAAATAAAGATCTAGCCATTTCACGAGAACTGGTGATCAATTTTGCGAATCCTGTTTTTCACAGCCCGGAGGTATCAAAGGGGTGCCACTAATTTATAGCACTAACTTGTAAAGTGTCAAGCTTTGTTTGGGTGTGTAGCTGATTGGATAAGCAACTCGTTGACACAGAAAACACTGTGGATAATTAGTACATTATAAACCTGAAAAATTAATTTATTTGATTTTCAAAACAACTTCGGTATTGAATTTTTTAAAAAAGAAATACATCATTAATAGTTCGGAAAAACATGTTCGCGATAAATGAGGAAATTGCTCATTCCAATTGAAGAAACGAACACAACCTTAGTAATAGTATCAATCGTTAACTATGCACCAAGCTGCGATTGTTTCTCCATACTCTTCCTCGTTTTTCGTTAGCACATTTCCTAAACTACTAAGCAGCGTGTTTGATGTAAAAATTTCTATATAAGTTGTTTTAAAGAATAAAGTAAATCATTTTTTTAAGTTTATAAAATTAGTACTCAATTAATCATATGCTAATAATTTGCCTCGTTTTATGGGCCACTAAATTTCACCCAAAACCTTCTCCCGAACGCACCTTGGGCCTTTGAGCAACTCAAACTCATGGTAGAAGAACGCAATATGACCTTTGCTTGACAAACGACAGACCTCCTTGGTCTGGCCGGCAAGCTTTGATGACAGGAGGCAGTAACGTCGATCGATCGAAATGTCGCTGTACAGCGAAATAAGACTGATAATTTGGGAAAGACTGAAAAAATGGGCATTGTTGCACCGCTCATAGAAAATGTTTCACCGCAACATAAAAAAAAATAGAGTAAAGTCTATCACCGGTCCTTAAACTTGTACCGTTGTGTCATCGTGGTCCCTAGACTCGCAAATCGACCGTTCAGGTCCTCAAACTTATTCAATTGTGTCATCTCGGTCCCTAAACTTGCAGATCACTTGTTTAGGTCCTCCAACTTGTTCAGTTGTGTCACCCCGGTCCCTAAACTTAGATTTGAATATCATCTGGGCCAAATAGGACGGTCTAAAGACTTTATATGTAAAAAGAATTCATAACTTTTTCATGTGAACTCTAATAAAGACAAACTTTATATCAAACTTGTAGCCCTCGACGCGATCTACAACTTGGTAGTTGATTTTTATATTCTAATTCATTTTTTTGTCCCAAAATGTAATTTTAAAATTAAAATTTCAAAATCTATAAATATGCAACAATATTTTGGGACCCTAAACAGTTTTAATTCAAAAACTTATCAACTACAAAGTTGTAGGTCGCGTCGAGGGCTACAATTTTGATATAAAGTTTGTCTTCATTAGATTTCACATGAAAAAGTTATGAATTATTTTTGATATAAAGTTTTTAGACCGTCCTGTTTAGGGACCGGGGTGACACAACTGAACAAGTTGGAGGATCTAAACGAGTGATCTGCAAGTTTAGGGACCAGGATGACACAGTCGAACAAGTTTGAGGACCTGAACGGTCGATTTGCGAGTTTAGGGACCGGGATGACACTGCAGTACTAGTTTAGGGACCGGTGATCGACTTTACTCAAAAAAATATATTTCAATTAAAATAATAAAACATAGTGGAGTCAAAAATTGAAACATTTTGCTTCACACACATGAAACATTGGGGTTACATTGTTGAAACATCAAACACCATAAAAAATACGCCGTCCAACATTTCAATCTAACACAAATAAACATTAAGACAAATAGACTGAAATATAAAAAAAAATCACAACATTAACCGGACAAAACTTGGGTCCTTCCTCTACTCCAATGGATACATTTTCGATTTCCAGCCGACCACCCACCAACGATAACAAGTCGGCCATGGATATGTTCCCGCCAAGCATTAGAAGAAATCAAGCTAGAGGCTAGCTCCTATGGAGGGATGGACTTGATCCCATTGGGCATGGACCGTGGACTAACATGTACAGGTGCTAAGAGGCTTCGCCGGGGCAGACTGAGCTCGAGTCCCGCCATGTTCAGATTCTTGCGAAGCAGACAACGACAGCTCAAGGAGAGGATAAGAGAAATCGAGGGTGACGAGGTGGGGTGGGGGGGGGGGGGGAGGGAGGAGGCTCGTAACCCTATACCCATGCTTGCACCTCGGGCCCTGGCTAAGAAGTGAAGCTTGAATCCCACATTTCCACGCTCCTCTTGGGCTTGGCTTGGCAATGCTTTTGCACCCACGCGTACAGGCTCTCGATCACGCCCAGGCAATAAACACGCCTATCTCTACACGCCAAATGCGAACCAACCTAGATGTAGGCAACCAAACTTGTTCTAATTGATTGAACTGGTTTGAGAAACATGTTGTGCGACGAAATGGAGCGGGTGGGTTCGGCCTAGTTTCCAATCCATTGGCACCTCTATTTACGTGACACAATCTGGGCCATTAATCTTGGCAGAGTAGTAATGGCACCAAGCTAGTTTGACAATATTTTTATTCTCCTAAACTTATGGGGTATATCGACTTTTTTTCCTAAAAGTATTATACCCGTGTTTAAATCTATAACTTTGGACGGAGATAGTAATATATTTCGAGTCAACACTAGATTAAGAAAATAAATTGAGATTTAAAAGGAAAATGCACCAACACATATGGGCCGCTATTGTCCATGTGGTCCATGAGGTCCTCTCGAACCCAGCCGACGAACGAGCTTGTGCGCCTTGGCTCCTAACGCCGCCGGCTGGCCGGCCGCCGGCGGCGGCGGCGGAGGAGAAGCCCAGGCTGTTGACGACGGCGCGACGACGGCGCCGGCGCAGATCCACGTCGGTCATGTCGCAGACAACCGCACCCATGTCCCGCCGCCGTCTCTCCTCCATCCTCGCCAGCACCGCCACCGCCTCCTCCACGGCGGCGTCGACCACCACCGCGGCGACGGCATCGCCGGCACGCCCATCCCCTCCCGCCCACGCCGCGTTCCGGGAGCGTCTGCGGTCGGGAACGCTCGGTCCCGACGACGCGCGCCACCTGTTCGACGAATTGCTGCTTCGCCGCGACGCCCCCGCCCCCGCGCGAGGCCTCAACGAGCTCCTCTCCGCGCTCGCCCGCGCGCCGCCCTCCGCCGCCTGCAGGGACGTCCCAGCCCTCGCCGTCGAGCTGTTCAAACGGATGGACCGGTGCGCCTGCCCCGAGGCCGCTCCCACCATCTACACCTACAACATCCTCATCAACTGCTACCGCCGCGCGCGCCGCCCCGACCTCGGGCTCCCCGTCTTCGGCCGCTTGCTCAGGACGGGCCTGGGGCCGGATGTGTTCTCGTACAACGCGCTCATCGACGGATTCTCTAAGGAGGGCGAGGTGGACAAAGCTCACGACCTGTTCTACAAGATGGAAGAACAGGGCATCATGCCAAATGTGGTGACTTACAGCTCGCTGATCAATGGGCTGTGCAAGACGAAAGAAATGGACAAGGCCGAGAGGGTTCTACGACAGATGGTCGGCGCTGGTGTTCGGCCTAATAATATGACTTACAACTGCTTGATCCATGGATACTCCACTTCAGGAATGTGGAAGGAGTCGGTCAGAGTGTTCAAAGAGATGTCGAGCTCCCTTCTCGTACCGGATGTCGGCAATTGTAACTCCTTCATGACTGCTCTTTGCAAGCATGGTAGAATCAAAGAAGCAAGAGATATTTTCGATTCGATGGTTCTGAAGGGCCCCAAACCTGATGTTATCTCCTATGGTGCTCTGCTTCATGGTTATGCTACTGCGGGATGCATAGCTGGAATGGATAATCTCTTTAATGTGATGGTATGTGAAGGCGTCGTACCTGACCGTCATGTTTTCAACACACTGATTAATGCATATGCTAGATTGGGGATGATGGATAAGTCCCTGCTTATGTTTGAAGATATGACGAAGCAAGGCGTGAACCCTGATATAATCACATTTTCAACTGTGATATCCGCTTTTTGCAGACTGGGTAGGTTGGATGATGCTATGGAAAAATTCAATCACATGATTGATACTGGTGTACCTCCGGACACAGCTGTTTACAGTTGTCTGATTCAGGGTCAATGTAATCGTCGTGATTTGGTGAAAGCCAAGGAATTGATTTCTGATATGTTGAGCAAGGGCATTCCTCCTCCTTGCATCAAGTTCTTCACCTCGATTATAAACAACCTATGTAAGGAAGGAAGGGTAGCGGAAGGGAAAGATGTCGTGGACTTGATTATACATACCGGTCAGAGGCCTAATCTTATTACGTTCAATTCACTGGTAGATGGATATTGCTTAGTTGGCAATATGAAGGAAGCTGTTGGATTACTTGATTCTATGGAGTCGGTTGGTGTTGAACCTGACATTTATACATATAACACACTTGTTGATGGTTATTGTAAACATGGAAGGATTGACGACGCGTTGACTCTATTCAGAGATATGTTGCACAAGAGAGTGACACTTACAAGTGTTTCATACAACATCATTCTCCATGGGTTATTTCAAGCTAGGAGGACAATTGTTGCAAAGGAAATGTTCCATGAGATGATTGAAAGTGGAATGGCCGTGAGCATTCACACATATGCTACTGTTCTTGGAGGACTTTGTAGAAATAACTGCACCGATGAAGCTAACATGCTGTTGGAGAAATTGTTTTCTATGAATGTTAAGTTTGATATCCTTACTTTCAATATTGTGATTAGAGCAATGTTCAAAGTTGGCAGAAGGCAAGAAGCTAAGGAATTGTTTGCTGCTATCTCTACCTATGGGTTGGTGCCTACTATACTTACCTATAGGGTGATGATAACAAATCTTATAAAAGAGGAATCATTCGAAGATGCTGACAATCTTTTTTCATCAATGGAGAAGAGTAGCTGTACTCCTGACTCTCGCATATTAAATGAGATCATTAGAATGTTACTCAATAAAGGTGAGGTTGCCAAGGCTGGAAATTATTTGTCTAAAATTGATAAGAAGGGTATCTTGCCTGAAGCTACAACCACTTCCTTGTTAATTTATCTATTTTCAGTGAATGGGAAATATCGAGAATACATAAAATTGCTCCCTGAAAAGTATCGTTTTCTAAGGGAGCAAGCTGCAGTTGATAATTGTATCTGAATTTAAATCCTCAGAAGGTAAACTTGAATTGTCTTTTCTATTTTTAGAGCTCTTCTTTTAGTACAGTAAATTAATGTTACCTGCATAAATATTCAATCTTTCATTGCGTAAATAATTTTGCGTTCCTTTTGGTAACAACTTGGCTCCAGTAATTATGCGCACTCTTTGACAGCAGTATCTTGTCCTACCATTGTATTTAGTATTAGTATTTGTTTGTCCTGCCGCAAGGAAAGAAATGGTCATTCCCTTGCAGAGAGCTTAACTATGAATTAAATTTCTTTCAATGGCCTTGCAGGATGTGTGTGTTAGATGTGTATTAGATAGGTTGTATTTATGGTTTTATGTCTTTTGGCTTTCCATGTTCCTGTCTTTTGGTTTTCCCTGTATTTGTATATATATTTGGGCTATTGCTCTCTGATGAATGTTCATAACATGGTATCAGAGCAGGTTTAGACTTCTCATCTTCTTAGAATTTTCTCTCTCGACTTCTCCATGATTTTCTTTGAGGATTATCAGCCTCTTCATCTTGAAGCCATGATGTTCCTCTTGATCTAGTATGGTGTCGCTGAGAATCGTCCATCTCTGCTCCCCAACGTCGTCAATTTCTTCAGAACAGTGTAGAGGGCTGGCGGTTGTCCTCATCACCGGCTGTCGTCGCTTCTCGTCGCTGGCCGCCGTCGCTCCTCGTCGCGGGCCTCTGGCCGCCGTCGCTCGTCGTCGCGGGCCTCCAGCCACCGCCGCCGCTCGTCGCGGGCCTCCGGCCACCGTCGCCCCTCGTCGCGGGCCTCCGGCCGCCGTCACCCCTGGTCGCGGGCGCCTCCACCTGGGTTGTAGGGCGCCGTCACCTGGGTCGCCACCTTCCCCGGCGTTGCCTGGGTCGCTCGGTGCCTGTTTCCTCGATCCGGATCTGGATCGGGAGGTATAAAAAAAAGAAAAAAAGAGAAAAAAAAGGCTTCTCTGGCTCTGCTACTGTTGTGCTCTGATCGCACGTGGTGGCTCTATATTTTGGGCTGAGGCATTTAAAAAAAAAAAACTTGCTGCCGCTTGTTCTGTTTTGCTCTCTCGCTGTCGCTTCTTCCTTCTTGATGATGCCGTCTTTATCCGGCACTGTGTCTGTTCCTCGTTGCCCAGTTCTTTTTGATGGTGTCAACTACAGTCATTGGGCTCAGCACATGAGTCTTCATATGCGTGGTCAGCGTCTTTGGGATGTTTTATCTGGTGAGCTACCCTGTCCTCCTTGCCCTATTGCTCCAACTATGTCTTCACTTGCAAGTCAAGCTATTGATGACGATAGAGCAAAGGCTAAAGAGCAGTTTAATGATGCCATGGAAAATTATCAGAGTCAGTTTGCTTTATACAAGGCTTGGTTGGATGAGGATGCTCGAGCTTCTGCTCTTCTGAGAATTCTGCATCCTCTTATGTGCCTCCTCTTACCCAGGTTTATAGTCGTAAACCTCGTGTCCAGGAGCCTTCTTTGGATGCTTCTCCGGTTGCTCCTCCTCGATACAATTTTCGTGATCGTAATTTAGTTACGATTCGTCCAGAGGATCGCTATGGTTATGTTGCTACAGTTCTTGCTGAACCTCGTTCTTATCGTGATGCTATTGTCCATCAGGAATGGCAACTTGCGATGGCAGAGGAGCTTGCTGCACTTGAGCGTACGTGTACTTGGGATCTTGTTCCCTTACCTTCTCATGCTCGTCCCATCACTTGTAAGTGGATCTATAAGATCAAGACTCGCTCTGATGGAACTCTTGAACGCTATAAGGCTCGCCTTGTGGCGTGTGGTTTCCAACAAGAACATGGTCGTGACTATGATGAAACTTTTGCTCCTGTGGCTCACATGACTACTGTTCGAACACTTCTTGCAATAGCTTCTGCTCGTCATTGGAATATATCGCAACTTGATGTCAAGAATGCTTTTCTCAATGGGGAATTGCATGAAGAGGTTTACATGCGGTCACCTCAAGGCTATTCAGTTCCAGAGGGTATGGTTTGTTGTCTTCGATGCTCTCTTTATGGCCTCAAGCAGGCTCCTCGTGCTTGGTTTCAACGGTTTTCCTCTGTTGTCCTAGAAGCTGGTTTCTCAACTAGTGCTCATGATCCCGCTCTCTTTGTTCACACTTCACCCCGCGGTTGCACAGTTCTACTTCTCTATGTGGATGATATGCTAATCACGGGTGAAGATGCGGAGTTTATTACTTTTGTTAAAGCACGTCTCGGTGAGCAGTTTCTTATGACTGATCTTGGTCCTCTTCGTTATTTTCTTTGCATTGAGATTTCCTCTACTCCTGAGGGATTTCATCTCTCTCAAGCCAAGTATATTCAGGATCTTTTGGATAGGGCTTCTCTCACTGATCAACGCACAGTTGAAACTCCCATGGAGCTTAATCTTCATCTTTCTGCCACTGATGGTGAACCGTTAGCTGATCCCACTCGCTATCGTCATATTGTAGGGAGTCTTGTTTATCTTGGTGTCACTCGTCCTGATATTTCATACTCTGTGCACATTCTGAGCCAATTTGTTTCTGCCCCCACACAAATTCACTATAGTCATCTTCTTCGTGTCCTCCGTTATCTTCGTGGAACTATCTTGCGTTGCCTTTTCTTTCCTCGCTCCACATCTTTACAACTTCAGGGTTATTCTGATGCTACTTGGGCCAGTGATTCCTCCGATCGTCGATCTCTTTCTGCTTTTTGTGTTTTTCTTGGTGGTTCCCTCATTGCTTGGAAGACTAAGAAACAAACATCTGTTTCTCGTTCTAGTGCAGAGGCTGAGTTAAGAGCTATGGCCCTTTTGACAGCAGAGGTTACTTGGCTACGATGGTTACTTGAGGATTTTGGTGTTTCCGTGACTTCACCGACTTCTTTATTGTCGGACAATACATGTGCTATTAGTATTGCTCGTGATCCTATAAAACATGAGCTTACTAAGCATATTTGTGTGGATGCCTCGTATACCCGCACACAGGTACATGATCAGGTGGTTGCTCTTCAGTACGTGCCTTCCGAGTTGCAGCTAGCTGATTTCTTTACAAAGGCACAAACTAGAGCTCAACACAGGTTCTATCTCTCCAAACTCAGTGTTGTTGATCCACCCTGAGTTTGAGGGGGGGGTGTTAGATGTGTATTAGATAGGTTGTATTTATGGTTTTATGTCTTTTGGCTTTCCATGTTCCTGTCTTTTGGTTTTCCCTGTATCTGTATATATATTTGGGCTATTGCCCTCTGATGAATACAAGTCGTGTTCATAACAGTGTGCTTAGTAGCTCACCCCATTGGCCCTGTCACGATTATTTCATTGTCACATAGAATCCTGTACAATCTTTCTGAGCCTGATGAACTGCTGACAGAGCCAAGAGCCATGGTCCCAAAGTGGTAAAGTTCTTTTTGTGACATCAGTTGTATATATTTGGAACTGTGTATCACTCTTCAAGATCTCTTTTTTGTTTTGCAGTCTAAAAAAACAAGTCTATGAAATCAGTATATTGATATAGAATTGGGAAACACTGTGGGACTTCAATCGCTTCTGCTATTCTGTAGTAATAATAATAGGATAAGTTCTGTAGAATATTTTGTGACATGCCATGCCTTTCATTAGTATAGTAATGATAATAAAGATATCATAAGATTAGATGGGTCAACTGTTAAACTTGGCATGCCCCACAGGTGCTCCAGCACGTGCACTTCAATGTTGCATTGGAATTTGCTCCTGGTAGAATGCAACAATTGTAGAAGCACCAAAGGATTGTAGAAAGGAATAAAACTATATCATTTATACCTTGTGGATCCTCTGGAGAGGACCTTCCAAAATGTGCCTCTCGAGTTCCAAGAAGTCATCAGACTCATCCAGTTAGAGGTTTGACCGGATCGTTTCTAGGATTGACCTATCTAATTCGTGCCCCTGTTTGTGGTTACTCTGTTTTTCAGTAACGGTGTGTTGCAATCTCACTAGTTGTGCGCTTTACAATATTCTCACTTGTTGTTTCTAGCCACTGGAACAATCTTTTCCTTTGTAAAATTCTGTTTCCATTTCACATTTCTATAGGAATTCCAATGCCTTTGTCGCATATGGTGGCTGTAACTGTTGATGCTGTTTTAGATGATTCATACACTATGTCTGTAATATTTTCGTGCCAACTTTGTTATGGGCTAATTTGGTGAAATAGCAATAGATTGGTTTAGGCTGCAGGGAGAAGATATTTCTTTACCCTATTTTCCCCAAGTGACTCCCTTAAGCTTTTTATAAACAAACTCCACAGATAACTTGGTAATAAGGATACCATTTTGCATTTTGTTAGTTGCTTCCAATGTACCTGATTTGCTGCCCTTCCCATGACAGGTGAAGCATGGTGCATAGAGGTGAGATGAGTACTCACTGTCACAGTATGATTTCTTCTGCACCTTTATTGATGAAAGCTTACATGGAAGCTTCAACTATTTTCTGTTTGGTGCACTCCATTTCATCAGTATGGCTTGTGGAACAGGTCAGATGGTGTTCAGATTTCAGTATGGTTTCTTCTGCCGATGAGAATGCAGAAGGTTCAACTACATTCCAGTGTAAGGAAAATTCGAGAAGGGGCACTGCTTGGTGACCTGGAGCTCGGTTTGCTTGCCTATCGAGAATGGGGGGCTGCACATCAAGGACTTAAACCTCTTTGAGCAAGCTTTGCAGCTCAGGTAGTTGGCGCAAAAAGTGAACAGACTGAATGACCATGGGCGTTTCCTGTGTGTGTTAAAACAGCCAATAGAGATGCAAGACCTCTTCTTTTCAGCAACAGAAAGTGTGGTAGGTGATGGAAGGAACACAGATTTCTGGAGGACCAATTGGCTAGCAGGGGAGTCATTAAATCTGCACGGCCAACTTATTTCAGTTATCAGCAAAACTGATCCGACGGTTGCATAAGGGTTGCAGAATCACAGATGGGTGAGGGACATTCAGGGGGCTCTGTCAAAAAGGGCGATAGGTGATCAGTTTGATCTCTGGGATGCCATTCAGGATGTTGAGTTACGTCCAGAGGAATGGGACAGGACAATCTGGAAGATGGCAGTGGATGGGCAATTCTCTGTTTCGTCGGCCTACAGTATTCATTACCAAAATGAGAGTGTGTTGTGGCAAACTGATCTGGCAAACAAAGGTTCTGGTGAGGGTGAAATTATTTATGTGGTTGGCAGAAAAATGGCGATGTCTCCCAGCGGACAATCTACTGAAGAGAGGATGACCTCAACAGCAGGCATGCATGCTCTCTCTGTATGGTGGCGAATGAGGATTATCGCCATCTGTTTGTGAATTGTACTACGTGAACATAATCTGGATGCTTAGAGGATGGGTGAGCATCTCTTTTCAACTGCAGGGCGAGATGGACATGGAGATAGGACAGTGATACCTGAAAGCACGGTTCCATTTCCGGAACAGCTACAGGAAGTCATTCGACATGGCTGATTTGAAAAGGAATGTAAAGAGTGTTCAACCAGCGATCGCGCACAGCTGGTGACATTGTTTCGGTGAAATTTCCATTTGGAAAGAGGCGGGAGTGTTCAAACCATCAAAGAGTAATCTGCCGTAGTGTTTCCATGTTTATGTTGAGGTTGATCTAGTTACCAACCTCACCCCGATTTTGACAGCTTTCTGTTAATGTCTTTGTAAAATGTAGTAACATTTAACCCCTTTCAATCTTACTAATGTTATTGTATATGGTAATTCTGCTGACACCTAGTTTATGAAGCTACAAACCCATGCCAAATAATAGTAGCTCTTGAGGCCTGGTGTGGATCCACATACAAGTGGTATGCATCTCATAGCTAGGAAACCAAGGCAATTTGAAATATTTTGTGATTTTGTAGCATTAAGCACATATATTGAGTACTAGAATTGTGAGTATCAGTCAGAGATCGGTTGGTAGTCTCAGTAATTTGTGTTCTAGATTCATCCTGTGGTAACCATAGATTCAGCGACTCTATTCCTTCGATGCCTAACATGTAGTTTCTTTCATTATAGCAGACAATAGAACTTTCATGTCTTGCCTAACGTTCAGCTATTTACATATCGTTTGCACTATACTTCCCTTAAAATTGTACTACCTCTGTTTCTCTGTTTTAGGTTACAAGACTTTCTAGGATTACCCACATTCATATGTCTAGATTCATTAACGTATATATAAATGTGGGCAATCGTAGAGAGTCTTATAATATGAAACAGATGAAGTATAAAGTTTCATTTTTATGTTTTTAGAGCGTGGCCATTATCCATCGATTTTTTTTTATCAGAACAAGCTGTCCCATAAGTTTATCAGATTTTGAAAGTACCATTCAAGACAAACCTGCATATACTCTTTTTATATTTTAAAAGGCATCAACTTTCAAAGTTTCAAAAGTTCGGCCGGATGATTGTTCAAAAGCATATCACACCTCAAATCAAATGAAGACATTACTTAGTAACCAATCTGAGTTTATTTATATGTTTTTTTAACACGAGTTTATTTATATGTGATTATCGATATGTAAAACTCCAAAGGAACCAAACAAAACCATACATGCATATGCCATATACTCCAAAAGGAGGAGTATAAGCCTGTGCACGCACATGCTTCGTAATTATTCCATCCGTCCCATAAAAAACTAATATCTCCGTTCCATAAAAAACTATGGTACCGGATGTCTGATTCGTAGTACTATAATGTATTACATCCGTACTAGGGTTGATTTTTTATTAGACGGAGGGAGTAAAGTCCAACTAGTAATAATTAATATAATTAGAGTGAAACTAATACATATATTTGAGCATGATTATTTGGTAGAAGAAGCAGGCGTGAAGGAGACGAGCTCCTTGGATTTGAGCCAGGCCTTCACCACCACCACGGCGTCGAACACCCGGTCACCGCCGGCGGCGGCGCCGCCGCGGGGGTCCCTCGCGCTCGCGGCGACCTTGAGGTAGTAGGCCACGCCGGAGACGACCTGCTTCTGCGCCTCCACGACGCGTGCGAACGCGAGCTTCACCGGGACGGGGTCGGCGGGGCCGCCGGAGCCGCCGTGGCGGAGGCGGCGGTTGTGCTCGGCGACGGCGAAGCGGCCCAGCGACTGCACCGCCTTGTTGCTGCCCACGTCCCTGATCTCCGTCCTCCCGCCGACCAGCACGGGCGCCGCCGGCGCCGCCGCGTTCGACGGCGATGCCTCGTCGCCAGTGGCGGCGGCGACTAGTACTAGTAGGAGGGAGACAAGGAAGAGCATAGGAGAGGTGGCCATTGTTGCAGCCGTGTGCTGTGCTGCTGTGCTGGGCAACCTCGGCACCGTTATATATAGACAGCGGAGTTCGTCGTCCCACTTGACTATTATTCATCTTATTCAAAATATCATGTAATTACTATTTATTTATTTAAGATTTGTTTTATTATAAAAAAATAATTTAAGTATGACTTGTTTTTTATATATTTACACTATCTTTTTAAGATAAAACGAATGATCAAATATTTTTTTTAAAAAAAGTCAAAACAACATTTAATTTGAAACGGAGAAAGAGGAATTGGATCGTACATATAGGGATACTCCTCTCCTCGCGAGCGCGCTTGCTTCGTGTGTGCGTAAACCGAGCCGAAAATCCAGAGCGTGCTGCCGCGATATCTTTGCCATCGTGTATGTATTGTAGTGTAGGGTAGGGTAGGATGGGGTAGTGTATAGTGTGTCCATTTGACTTGGGACCCACAGCGAGCTAGCTTGCCTCTTAGCTCGCCCATCCATTTGCAGCTCTAATTTCAACTTAATATTTTCATCACCTCCCACCTCAAAACTGGTTAATCTTGAACCAAAAGGACTTGCATTGCAATTTGGACATTTGGTCTTAATAGGACCATGTGGTGTACTGTGGTAACCGGGCTTACCGTCAGGACACGATACCGATAAATGTATGTATGGTAATAACCTAACCAAGTTTTTGGAAGTTGAATAAAAAGTTAATATGTTGGTCTATTTTGTCAATTTTTTTCTAAGTTTACCTCAGGCTATCCCTCCTCAAACGGTAAGGGAACTCTTGAGTTTGGTTCACTTCAGACACACACAGTGCTGAAGCCGGTTTTAACTTTTAACTAAACTCGTAGATCTCAAACTCGTAAACTAAGGCTCTGTTCTTTTTTACCCATTGCTACCTAGATTATCGTGGATTCGTTTTCTGAACTGCTAAACGGTGGAATATATAATAATTAATGCTTAATTAATTATATGCTAATTGAGTTAATTTATTTCCTGCGAAGCGAACCGGCTAATTGCCCCCGACCTCACTTCCGATCTGAGCATAATTCTCACTACAAGTTTTCCAATATAACTGTTGTAATTTGAATGATGCATAATGAAGGATGCGTGGGATGGTTCTTAGGGGTTCCTTGCAAGCCACCCCCAAGCTAGGTCAAAACAGTCCACAACAACACCACCTCCACCCAATGACAACAAGGCTAAAGCTAGCTAAATCAGATCAACACGTAGTAGCTAGCAATTGTGGCCAAGAGCGATGCATGCATGAGCCCATCATCAATCCCTGCTTACTAGCACTGCACTACAGCAAGTATCTACAGGTGGGCTCTCTCTTCTCTGGAGCCTTGTGTCACGGGCAAACGCATACATCCAACACAATCTTTGCATGCGTGCTTAAGGGCCATCAAAACCAAAAATAATTTCTACATTTTCTATCATGAAGAGACTGTACTTGATGAGGACTAGTATCCCGATCTTCCATTAGATACTGGATAACTGAAAGGCTCTAATCAGGATGATCAACCCCTCGCAATCACTACACCACAGCTTCGTTGGTTATCACCCGAACCAAAACACGGCTGACCTCGCCGATAAGACTATCTTCTGCAAGCGAATAGAGGACACAAGCAAGAGAGTATAAGATACAATCTGAATATATTATACGAATACAAGATGAATATCACAAATTAATAAGGTTCTACAACCTGAACTAGCGGCGAAACTGCAATGACAGAATAATCTAAACAAAACTTGACTCTAAACGATGACGGCTACTAAATAAATATGATTAGGGACATCCTAGAGTTAGCTGTCCATCCCTTGGACTTAGCACACAATACAATTATAAGGCACAAGACCCAAATCACGAAGTGGATAAGGTATATGGCTTGTTTTGCAGATTCCTGGCAAACCAGGAGAAATTTTGACGTGAGACCATAACCATCTGAAAGTAGACTCATAGGCTTTCCAATAAGTACTTATGGGTCCTAAGAGTCCTTCTGGATCGGTAGCTAGGTCCGTTTGAAGTTGATGTTGTTAGTAAGTCCGAATCTGAATCTAAAACGTGTAGAACTTCATATTTGGTTTTCTATGAACCAAAAATGGCATGGTGATGTACGAATAAACTTGGGAAAGATCTTGGTTTGGCCTCAATCAACTTCTTTGATCGTCTAAACACCTAGTGAGCCCACTCTCTTTTTCTTCACCCAAAGTATTTCTCTAAACGAGAAGGTACAAAACTCATTGTGCAATAACATTTGTTCAAACATATAATAAGTAAAGTTAATATAGAGCATATGCACCTTTAGCTTATTGATAACATAAACAGGAATGCATAGCTTATTGATAACATAAGCATGAATGCATGATCATATCCGAGCCAGTAATGTTCTCAACTTCTCATCAGTACTGCACATTACTTTTCCAATACAAACAATACTAGTTCATATTCGAATTTAATGCTACTTCTCTCGCATTATGTTCTGAATATTGTGTAAAAACCACGTCTCATGCAGATCAGATCACTCACTTGTCAAATTATATTTTACCATATGTGACAACTTATTAGTTTTATGGATCGTCGTTGCATTTTGAATGCCCTAAATAGTTGGCGTTCGATCTAATGTGTCCAAACGCAAGGAGAAATAAACTAAATTTTAAGCTTACTTACCCTTGTTTACTTCTTCAAATTAGAGTTATTAATAATGATGCCATATCGGCACCAATGTGGTCTATGTTACATTAGCGTCACGTAAAGTCTTGGATAGGACGTACGTGGTAATTTAGAACTGAAATGACATACTTCAACAAATTATGTGATCTGAATTCACATTTTAAAATATTGTGAACCTACAAGTTTAAAAACACATCCACCCACAAGTTTAAAAACCAATCATACACTTTACTTTTTCTTTTTCAGACGGTGACAATGTATCTTCTTGGAATGGGGCCCCTAATGCAGAAGCTATATAGCTCTTTTGAGTCATGGCTAACAAGCATCCATCGATATGTTAGTATACGCCTCCCGTATAGTAGACACGTAATGTTGGATCTGAACCGTCAACTCTTAAGCAGACAAAGCTCCGTAGGTTATGGGGGCCGTAGATGCTATAAATAAACCTCCAAATGATCCAATCAGGAGTTGATCGCCCCAATCCAAGTCGCTTCCCACATATCGATGATAAGTAGAGTACCTCGTCTTGTTTTACGACACGACGACTTTTTTCAATCACCGCTACCAGTGTGTGCCGCCGTTGGTTTTCGGGTTAAACCACCAGTGACAATAATAATACTCACTCCTTCCCTAAATGTTTAATGTCGTTGATATTTTTAAACATGTTTGACCGTTCGTCTTATTCAGAAACTTTTGTGAAATGTGTAAAACTATATGTATACATAAAAGTATATTTAACAATAAATCAAATGATAGAAAAAGAATTAATAATTACTTAAATTTTTTGAATAAGACGAACGGTCAAATATTTTTAAAACATTTTGGGATGGAGGAAGTATAAAGTTATAAAACTACCAGTGACAATATTATACCCTCACTGATTTTTTTTTCATGATTTCGAACTAATAACCAGCATCATAAGGGGATGGAGGTAGTCAGGTAGTATATATCAACAATCACATCACGATTGTGTGCCACCCCTGCCCCTCCCGATGCTGGAGAAGGAGAAGGCACCGACGTAGCAAGAGAAAATCATGAACTAAATAATAGTCTGAACCGGCGGTCCGACCGCTCGACCAATGAACCAGACATTCAGACGGTTTAGTGGCCGGTCCGACCTTTTCTACTAGGAATTCAAATAAGTTCACTTTAGTTTCTTATCTTGACGTCGAGCTTGAATTACGTCTTTGAACTACAAATACGAGATATATATGCTGCATCTCTCAACTTGCAAAATCAGTGTACTCGAGATCCCAGGGCAGTATTGTGCTTAGTTTTGGCTGACGTGACGGGTGGGCCTCACATGTTAGTGACCCACTCTTCTTTCTTCTCTCTTTCGCTCTCCCCTCTCTTACCCATCCCTCTTTAGGCCGGGAGAAGGGTGGTGAACGATGGGAAGAAGGGCAACTGCTAGCAGGAGGGGACGACGGTGGTGCTCCTCGGGTTGAAATGTTGCAATGTGGAAGAGAATGAGTTGGCAGGAGCGCGTCGGCTGCTGGAGGCGGCGATGAGCACAACGTTGAGGAGGGCATGGTCATCGTTGAATGGCAACGACGGCGTGCTGCCCTACTTCCTCGCAACACTAAATGAGGTCTGCGGGAACTGGTGACGGGTTCTTCTACGAAGCAAAGGCAATTAGGTAGTGGTTGCACAGCGGGCACGGAATGTCACCGATGAACAACCTGAAGCTCCCCCTCCCTCCCGGAGCTCGCCCAACCGTCCCCTCTGTGAAAAACAAGTGGCTCATTGGCAACTGCCCTTCTCCTCGCTGCTTGTTGCCATCTTGTTAGCTGTTATCCTTTTGCCCACCACTAATCGCCCTCCCGTCATTGCTCAGAGGCCTGGTGACGGACAGGGAAGATAGGGGAGAGATGACAAAGAATGTCGCCTATCGCCCTTCTAGTTCACGGTCACCGTCTTTCTCTAAGTGCGGAGGGCATCCTTCACCCCACCGCTTGCCGTCCTCCCACCGGTCGCCGCCTCTGCTGTAGGCCGCCTGTCTCCAAGTCAACGGTTGTCCTTCTACCCGTCGCTCGCCGACATCTCATCGGCCACCACCCCCCGTTGGCCGCCTCTCTCCCTATTGGCTGCCCCCCTTTCTCCCCGTTGCTCGCTGCCCTCATGTCAGCCGCCGCCGCTTGAAGGCTTGGTGATAATCTAAGAGATGAGGGGAGAGAGGTTATATGGGGAGAGAGGAGGAAGAGTTCATTGCTGATATGTGGGGCCTACTCGCTAGCAAAAAGAACGATCACTATACTATCCTGGATTCTTGGGTACACCGGTTTTGTAAGTTAAGTAACACAACATATTATTAGTATTACAGTTGAATGATGTAATTCATACTCGACGTTAAACAGGAGGGGGCTGAAGTGAACTTATTCCTTTCTACTATGCCTCGAACGGTCAAACCACAACGCAAGCTGGGCCGCGCGGGCCTCAAACTGTAGACGAGTACAAACCTGTAGAGCCCATAGCCCATGTCACGCGGGACCCACACGTGTCCCTCGGGCCCACCAGCTGGGTGACTACCCCCAGTTGACCACCCATCCGGCCCCACCCAACAGCGACACAGACGCACCGCCCAAGGCCAGATCCCATCCATCCCGATTCCAAAAATTGAAAATTCCCCACCCCTTCCCTTCTCACATTCGAAAAATTTCAAATTCTCCCTCTCTCTCTCTCTCTCTCTCTCTCTGCAACGTCTCTCTCTCGCTGGGCCATGAGGTCTCTCTTCTCCAAGCACGGCCGCCACCCGGCCACGCCGCCGCCGCCCTCGCTCTCCGGCGGCGGCGGCGGGACACGCCCCCGTCGCGGCGCCGCGTCCCCAAGGAGAACGTCGACCCGGGGTCGTCCCCCGCGGGGCACTCCCCCTTCCGCTCCCCGACCTCCTCCGCCAAGCCGCTCGGGAACCGCAACCGGGGCCTCCTCCCCCCGCGGCCCCCCTCCTCGAACCCGCTCAAGCGGAAGCTCGACGTCTCCCCCGCCGCCGCCGCCGACTCCAGCGGCGGTGCCGCTGCTGCTGCCGCCGCTGCTGGCGGCGGATGCCCCGCGCCCGACTCCGGAGTCCAGGTGTGTGGCTAGGGTTTTTTGTTTCCGGCTTCGTGCGGTGGTTGGGCGCTGGATCTGGCTTGACCAATGTGGGGGGGTTGGTGTTGCAGGTGGTGGTGAGGATACGGCCGCCGTGCCGGGTGGAGGAGGAGGAGGACGCGCGGGCGCCGGACTTGTGCGTTCGCAAGACGGCGACCAACTCGGTCGCGATCCAGGGGCAGGACTTCACGTTCGACGCGGTCGCCGACGAGGTGTCCACGCAGGTGAGTGAGATTGGTGTAAATTTGGGGGTAATTTCTGTTTTGATGTGCTTGTAAAGGTTGTGGATTAGCTAAAATTTAGGGGACTTTCAGTGTATTGAGCGCATTAGCGGTTAAACGTTAACTTAGATTCCCCACACCCTAAGTGCTTATGTGTGAGTTGATACCAGAGTGGTGGTTTTATGTAACATGTATGCTGTAATTCCATCCATTTTGTGATTTTAGCATCCTTAAGATCTGGTACATTTATGTTCAGTGCTAAGGTTCCTGCGTTAGAACTGTAATCTTTTGGGGGGTTGTGATTCAGATTTATTGAATTCAATGTTATGTGTACTATTGTTTTATTTTCTGCACCCTTATGATATAGTACATTTATGTTCGGGGCTAAGGTTACTGCGTTAGAATTGTAACTGTTCTGGGGGTGGGTGTTTAAGTTTGTTGAGTTCAACATTATGTCTATGTTTGCTATTGGTTGATCATACCATGATAGTTATCTGCGTACTCTATATAATTTGACTAACTTTTGTTAGTTCTACTGTGTAATTCTGGTGGCTAATGGCTTGATTGAATATTTGTTGGCACTTTTATAGGAGGATATCTTCAAGCTTGTCGGGCTGCCACTTGTTGAAAATTGCTTATCTGGGTTCAACAGCTCAATATTTGCCTATGGCCAGGTGATTATTACCTTAAACCAAACATTTAACTCTTATAGCTGGTCATCAGAAACATATTGACTTATGCTCACCCTCTTTTCATCTGATCATCTTGAAAAGACTGGCAGTGGGAAAACCTACACAATGTGGGGCCCTTTGTCAGCACTGTCAGAAGACTCAACGTGCAGCGAGAGGGGGCTGACGCCCCGTGTCTTTGAGCAGTTGTTCTCTCGTATCAAAGAAGTAATCTCATGAACTTTTTCTAAGCTGCCTATTCTGTTGTGAGTTTTTTATGAGTTGAAGTTGACTCTTGCTGTTCTATTTGCAGGAACAAGGAAAGCATGAAGACAAAGAGCTAACTTACCATTGCGTTTGTTCTTTTCTCGAGGCAATTGCTATTCTTAGAACCTAAGGCATATTTTCATGTTCTGTTTTCTATAGAAAATGTAATTCTTCCTGGTTGTAATTTGCAGATTTACAATGAGCAGATTACTGATTTGCTAGACCCATCACCTAAAAGTCTTCAGGTGAAGTTAAATTACAAAATTTAGTAGCATAGCTTTTCAGGTGATTTACCAATATGACCTGTTGAATTGCAGATTAGAGAGGATGTTAGAACTGCTTGTGTCTATGTTGAATCATTGACAAAGGAGTTAGTTTTCACTACAAAGGATGTAACGCAACTGTTGGTGAAGGTACATGCACGTCAATGTTGTCGTCTAAAGATTTGCTGATATGTTTCTCATATGTTTGTGCTGTTGAATATTGATCCTAATTTCTAATAGAGTTAAATTTGTCACTTGTCGCTGTCAGACGTGCCTATTCTGAGCTAAAATAATTCACTGTTATGATTATTCTGAGCTAAAATACTTTGCCTTTTATTTATGTGTAAGATTTCGTCTTGTTTAATGTCTTATCTGGCTTATAACGTGTCCTTGTCAATTCTGCGGGCAGTGGAGTGTTTACTTTACCTGAGTTCTTGTTTTCTTCCAAGACAGTGTAGCATCTAGAAATAACAATGATGCAGCATTTGCAACAAGATGATTTTTATGAGACAAAGATTAGCAGATGCTGCATAGTTGTTGTAAAAAATTAATGATGAGCTGCATGCTTATTTCTTCCTAATTGTTATTTCCAGTACCTGCCCATACACATAGAGCATATTCTTTCCTCTTCTATTTAGGAACTTTGATTAATTCATATGTTGCAGGGCCTCTCAAATCGGAGGACCGGGGCAACAAGCGCAAATGCAGACAGCTCACGCTCACATTGCGTTTTTACATGTGTCATCAAGTCTGAATCAAAGGTAGTTCTATTAATCATACTATCATGTACTTTCAACTTTTATTTGGTCATGTCCTTTTCCTAGCGATTGTGATGCTGTATCTTATCCTGTTTATGTGAGCTGATAATTGTTCCGAGTGGGTTTTCCACTTCACCTGTCTGCATCTTATTTATAGTTTATTTCATTCTGCTGAAGCATACGCCAAATGCCAAATGTAGATGCTTGTGTGATCCCTGATAGCTTGAAGCCTTGAAGGCACATTTGGATAGTTTAGGCATATAACTCTTCTTCTCCCAGCATCACATTCTGTTTCTTTGAGTATGATAAAATTGTCATGGAACACAATATTCTGTTTATGGCACTTGTTTGACTGTGTTTGCACTATGCAATATGCAAATTTCAATATTGTAGCTGCACATGTTCAACTTTGATACGGACTGTCAACTTCTAGAAGAAGAGCTTCCGTTGCTTATATAAATAGGATGTTTCTCTTTTGCATTCTTTTCTTCGCCGTTGTCTTCTGTAGTCATCCATATTTTGTTGTGATCGTATTATCCCATGATTTTCGTTGCATGGATAAAATGATAATGGGCCAACCGGTTGCATTATTCAATCCAAATAATAGTAAACATGTTCTCTTAAACTGTTGCTAGTTCTACTTTTGAATTTCTTTGTTCTTTAATGCCTTGTTATTGTTCTATAGAATCTGGAGGATGGCTCAAACAGCACAAGAACAAGCCGGATCAACTTAGTAGATCTAGCTGGATCAGAACGACAAAAGTTAACCCATGCATTTGGTGATCGCCTAAAAGAAGCAGGAAATATAAACCGCTCACTTTCACAACTTGGGTATGGTTCTGTTTATACATAACACTAAAGATAAAGGTTTATTTAACACATAATCTGACCATCTTTGTCCTGATATAGTCTTTATTGATTATCTCATAGACTGTTATGCTTAAGGTCAGTATTTAAGTAAATGGGTTGTAGTTTGTCATGCATGCATGGAAGTTATGTTTTGTGAAGTCTACTTTCATTATCATCTTTTTGTTACTGATATAAAGCTACAGTTCTGTTCTTGCTCACAACATATCAGATTTGTTTTTCATCTGATTGCTAGTTTATTATATACATGTCTATTGTTTTGGGCACAAACCGATAACCGATATTAGTTATATAAATGATATATCTATTGTGCAGAGAGTTTTTTTATTTGATTGCTAGTTTATAAAGCATTAACTGAGTGGGTAATGGGGTTAATCATGGAAAGAAACACCGTGTTATCAAGACGAAATGTTTAGCACAGAATGAATAAAAATATACATTTATTTCAAAATGTAGTGTGCTTTAGTTTGATTAGTCAAAATGTGGTGAGATGGAGAATCTTATTTTTATGCTTTTGGCCACTGCAGAAATTTGATCAACATATTGGCAGAAATATCACAGTCTGGAAAACAAAGGCATGTTCCATATCGAGATTCAAAGCTGACATTTCTATTGCAAGAATCACTGGGTGGCAATGCCAAACTTGCAATGATTTGTGCTGTTTCGCCTTCTCAAAGGTACTACCAAGTAGAACCAAAAGCCACTTTTCTCTTCTTTTTAAATATTTGTCCTGACTCCTGACTGTATTTTCAATATTGTAATGCAGCTGTAAGAGTGAAACATTAAGCACTCTTAGATTTGCTCAACGTGCAAAATCTATAAAAAACAATGCTGTTGTCAATGAACAAAAGGAAGAAGATGTCAACATGCTGCGTGAGCAAATCAGGCAGTTAAAGGTATAATCGCGTTCTTGTTGTTGACTTTGTTGTCTCCGTAATGTTTTGTTGTTCTGACTCAAGTTGTCCACTAATGTCTTATTTTCTGTATGCTATGACTACATTGCAGGATGAACTTCATCGAATGAAGTCTGGAGGTTCAGATGGAAGCAACGGCAGTTTTTCCACTGGATGGAATGCTAGGCGTAGTCTGCATCTACTCAAAATGAGTTTGAGTCGTCCTACAACATTCCAAACTATCCATGAAGATAGTGGTGATGTGGAAATGGAAATCGATGAGAATGATGTTGAGAAGCCCTATAATCAAGACAATATGGTAATATCTCCTCCTGGAGATAAAGAATGTAAAGAATTACAGGCTTCATTGAAAATTAATGGTGGCACTTCCCTTGATGTTTTTGATGGGGAGAATCTCATGCCAACAAAAAGGTCATGCTCTGATGACAGATATAAGTTAAATCTTGCTGCCAGTATACAGAGAGGGCTTCAAGTCATAGAAAATCATCAAAACAATGGAGCTTGGAGGAGAGCATCAGTTGGGTTCAATGCTAGAATTGTGGATGTTCAGCCTTGCAAGGTTGATGTAGCGATCCAAACTGAGCCAGAAGAATCTGAAGCAAGAGACAACCCTTTGGCTCTAATTTCTTCTCATGTACTTGGGACTTCTGCTACCGTGAGCAATGATCCCAATGCATGCAGGGATCTGCAATTAGTACAATATGATGCAGGAATAACACGTGATGAACCAAAACAGCAACAAATTCTGAAAGTAAGTTTAAACAAAAGATATTTATATGCATTTTTTATGCCAGCTTATTAAAGTTACAATATCAGCATTTACAAATAATATTTGTCTGTATAGGCTGTGGAGAAGGTCTTGGCTGGAGCAATCAGGCGAGAGATGGCACGTGATGAACAGTGTGTAAAGCAAGCTGCTGAAATCCAACAGCTAAATCGTTTGGTAGGTGCCTTAACTCTATTCTTTAACAATTAACTATGTGTTTTCTCTGTTCTGCTGTCTTAGTCATCCTGCTTGCAGGTACAACAATACAAGCACGAACGCGAGTGCAATGCAGTTATCGCCCAAACACGAGAAGGCAAAATTGCTAGGCTCGAAAGTCTGATGGATGGAACTTTACCAACAGAAGAATTTATCAATGAGGAGTATCTATCTCTTATGAATGAGCACAAGGTTACCTTTCACCGAACTTCCCATCCATTTCATTTCCTACATGTGTACCACAACTTATATTTTGGAGTCATAACTTTCTTATTGGCTAATTTCCTTAAACTGATGCAAACAGATACTCCAACAGAAATATGAAAACCATCCTGAACTTCTACGTGCTGAAATCGAGCTAAAGAGACTTCAGGAGGAACTGGAGCTGTGCCGGAATTACATTGATGAGAAGGAAGTTCTACAAGAAGAGATACAGGATCTAAAAAGTCATTTGCATTTTATGCTTTCATCATCAGCATCGATTCGCAGGCTCTGGCCTCCAGTGCAATTGTCTCACGGCGTTGGTCCTTCACCTGTAACAAATGATGCTGATGGTGATAATAATGCTGTTGACACACCAGATTGGGCTGAAGCTGAGAGTAAATGGGTAACTCTCACAGAAGAACTTAGAGTTGAACTTGAAGCAAATAAATCTCTTGTAGGAAGGCTGCGGTCAGAATTGGAGTCTGAAAAGAAGTGCTCAGAGGAAGTAAAGGAGGCATTACAAACAGCAATGCAAGGACATGCTAGAATCTTGGAACAGTATGCTGAACTTGAGGAGAGACACATTGGTTTGCTCGCAATGCATAGGAAGATCCGTGAGGGTGTTGAAGATGTGAAGGCGAGAGCTGCAAAAGCTGGTGTCAAGGGAGCTGAATTGCGGTTCATCAATTCCCTTGCTGCCGAAATGGCAGTTCTGAGAGCGGAAAACAAAGGCCTTCAGGACCAGCTAGGGGATACTGCTGAAGCTGTTCAAGCAGCTGGTGAATTACTTGTACGATTGAAAGAGGCTGAGGAAGCAGAAGCACTTGCCCAGGTATGAATTTCCAATGCTCAAATGCATCTGTATTCCAACATATTTGTCAGTATGCTGCTTGCAATGCGCTTGATATAGATAATTGACGTATTACGGCACAACTATAAATTTTAGATGACACCTAACTTTAGGAAGAAAATGCAGATTGACAGTGCCGTATCGCAGTTCATGCGTGCTTTTACCAGCCTACCTTGTTGATTGTTCCATATTTTCCCTGTATTTCCATATGTGCTAGTTACCATTTCTCCCAAGTTATGCTTACAGTTGTATTTATTTGTTGCAGAGGCGAGCATTGTTGGCAGAGCAGGAGACGGAGAAAGCGTACCAGGAGATTGATAACTTGAAAAAGAACTACGACCAGGAAATCGTTGCCCTAAACCAGCGCCTCTCGGAATCATCTCATCATCAAGAAACTACTCTGGCCATTGAAGCTTGCGACATGGAGACTACAAAGTATGATACGGCTGGGAGCCCCGGTGACCAGCAATGGCGGGAGGAGTTCAACCAGCAGGGCGGGTCGTTTGAGGTCTCCAAGAGCACTGATCTCAACTCGTGGTTTTCCGGGTACGACAAATGTAACATCTGATGATGATTTGCACACTTTTGTTCAGTTCTTTGTACCTTTGTATTGCTAGCATTGCATGTTGTACCACCAGCTGGTGAGCACAAGAGAGGAAGAAGAGAGTTAATCCTGAAGATGTGTGTACTACCTCTTCACTGTCTTGTGAGGAGGGCGCGGCAAGATTCTTCGGATTCTCCCCCCCAAAAAAAGAGGTTGTATTGATCTGTCTTGTAAATTCAGATGGACACTTTACATATGACAAGAGCAACAACGATGTTCATGTTCATGTGATTTATCATGACTCTACAATTTGTCAGTAAGTTGCAAAGATGTTCATGTCAACAGGTACTTCATCTCACAATGTTTGGTCCTTACATAATCTGTTTCTGTTGCCACTGCTGAACCCCTGAACTCTTGTTCCTTTTCACTGCGGTGCAATTTTGAGGTTTTTCTTTGGTCCAATTTTTTTTTTTCTTCAGCTAGTTTCCGCACGAGATTATATGCTTATGAAATGCTACAAAATTCATTATATGAATGCTTTCAATTTAATTTGAACCTGCCTACAGCTAAGTTTGTCGCTGCTGGAGCGTCCTATTCTGTGCAGTGGAGTGTACAGGACTATCTCCCAATGCTAGTACTGACAATTTTTCTTCACTACGGTTTCCTCTAGTTACATAAAAAAATATGAGGTTTGAAAGGACACTTCTTATTGTTCTTTGTATCATTCTCTCTAGTCTCTATGCACAGAAATACAAGTGTGAAGTCTGAGTTCAGTATATTCCTATAACGATTTTGCTATATCTCACTCGAAAGATTTTTTCTTATCTCTCACTCGATTTTCTCACTCAAATTTACAGTGCATTTTCTTGTAAGTTACAGTGTAATTTATGAATCTTCGCATGTAAATTTTAAATTTTGTATTGGATTTGGTCTTTTTCTTGGATATGTTAATTTAGTGTCCATTATGGTGTTTCTTAATTGCTTTTTGCCTTTTATTATATCTATCGGATTTTAATCCAAAGATTAAAAATCTGTGTGATACAGTCATAAAAATCTTTCGAAAGATGTATAGGTACTCCCTTCCTATAATAACTAGTTTGCACTGTTTTAATCTGAGCTAGAAACACAAAACCATTTGATCCTCTACCTTCTCTTTCTCCATAAACTATGCTCTTTCCATCACGAATTAAAATCGGAAAAACCTCAAGTTTGCATGGACTGATAGGCCACATCGATCATTTAAACCATCTGAGGACTTGTGCTTGGTCGTGTGTTCGTTGAGCCATGGCAATCACCTTTGAACCCTTGCCGGCCGGCCGATTAATGCCCAGCAAACTCTCCCCAACGCCGATCTCGATCAGCCGGCCAGAACCATCATAATTCATTTACGCTTATGCATGCATGCACGCGCGTAGGTAGGTACTACTACGTACTTGCACGAGCCACGGCACGATGGAACGTAACAACGACATCCGTTGGATTTAAGATGTTAATTAACCGTTGTCATGCGTAACAAAAATGTTTCTCTTCTTTTGTCCTCTCTATTCCATAATCAACAAACTCTAAGGTCCCTGCTAATAATTGTTGTTGTACATGCCCTAGGGGCTATTTGGAGAGTTCTTAACTGATATAGTTTCTTCCGGAATCTCCAACTCTCGCAGATTCTTACTCACATTATAAGAGAATCAATAGCTACCATCTACTCCTTACATCCCAAAATAAATTCACTTTTGTACGTGAAGTCATGTACGAAAGTGAAATTATTTTTGGACGGAGAGAGTGAACTTATTCAGTTGGGTTAAACCTAATTGAATATTTCTAAAGAATTTATAGCTTCGCAAAAGGTCCCAAGTAAACTATGCTATTTCTTTGTACCTTATTTTTTAGGGTTAACTGGCTAATACTATTTTGATTCTCAGAAGCTGACTACCAACTAGCTGTTTTTCTTAAGCTACCCCAAACAAACCCCTAGTCTATGGCACACGCAATATGCATGCGAGAATATAATGTTGGTGTTGAAGTACTGTAAATTGACCTTTTTCTCTGTCGGCTTGAGATTTTGGGTGAAATAAAAAAATCTCTACAAAATTACAAATATTATGGGTTTATTTGGAACATATCAATCTGTTCTGTTTTCAACGGGAGTTGAATTGTTTCACGTGAAATTGCTACTTTTGGAAGGCGAGCTAGCCCGGAGACAGAGGTGGTCCTGAAAGACACAGCAGGTGCGATTGATTGACCGTTGGTGAAAAATTAAATTGTGAAAAGTTTTGAAGTAATTGCTGTGCATACGCATGTAGTACTACCATTCTCCTAGCTAATTTCGGTTGGGGGTTCCTGTGGCGCTACAGGAGGCGGTGGCTAGCACCACACGTTGCTTATTTGCAGGATAATCCTCTCGTCGTCGTCACTGCAGTTATTGTGGGCGCGGGTGGCCGACGACCCATCCATACTATTCCAACCTATCACAATTCACAAGTTCACAACTCAAAAGCTCGAGCTTAGGGTTACTTCTATCTTAAAATATAAAAATTTATACATATAAGTTTTTATAGAGATTAAAGAGCAATAAAATTAAATAAAAAGTAATTATGATTGATTGAGATGAAAATGTACGTGAAAAAATATATAAGAGATGATTGTGATTGGTTAAGATTGAAATAGTAAAGCCCCATCGTTTTGTATATTCGGGGAATAAGCGAAACGGCATATTTGTAAACGAAAAATAATTTGTGAATAATTAAAACTTTTATATACATGTTCTTAGCGATCTAAAAAGCATTTGTTGAAAAATAAACTTCAATGAAAAAAAACCCTAAAATCAACTCCAAATTGAAAGTTGAAAATTCAAATTTTGGTTGATAAGCATAAGCATAAGCGAAAAAAATCTTAACCTAAGTGTAGAAGTTGTTAAAATATGAAGTGAGTTGCTCATCTTTCCTTGGTATCTCAAGTTTTTTGTTGAACTGGGTTGGTATGTGTGAGAAGTAGCTATATTTTGAAGCAAAATTTTAAACATTGGAAGTAGCTATGTTTTGGAGAAAAGAAATATAGGTTGAAAAGTATACTTGCAATTTTAAACATATACTTGCAATTTTTTTCTCGGTTTTTCTGTTGGATAAGTTTCAGTTTTTTTCCCGTTTCCCCCTATTTTTATCTAGGTTTTCTTGACTGGTTTCTTTTAATGATTTTTTTGTTTGTTTTTTTGAATGGTTTTCTCTTGTTCCTCTAGAGAAAGGGAATAAGTACGGAGTTGTGTTTATAAGATAGTAGGGATTAATGAATTCTAGGAACATTTCGACAACTGAAGTCATATTAAGAGGTCAAAAGAAATTTCTGTACTACATTTAACATATTTCTATTCAAAATAAATTGCATTAGAAAACGATCGATCAAAAGGGTGTCACAAAATGTGATCTTCCATAAAAGCGCGATCAGGACGTACGATCGAGATTATTTTTTCTTAAAAAAAACACAAGGAGGATATATATATAAACAAAATAAAATACTATTGCTCCAGTGGAAAACAAGCACACGTGTAAACCAATCGATCGAACTGTGAGATCGATCGATCAATCCAGAGAAAAAATAATTGAGGATCGATCGATCGATCGATATTCTTTTCATCCCAGCTGTCGTCTGTGCATTGCTAGCTATAGGGGTATAGCAAAGCTCGTTGTTGGGTTTTGTTTGTTTGGAGGTACGTCGCTGTGGTGGTATCTCCGCTAGGGGACAGCCATCCCAGCAGTTGGAAGGACCGTCACTGTGTTTGCAGGCAGAGGCACCTCCGTTTTAATGAGACCCTCCACCTAACGCCAATCAACCCCGCCCGGCCCCCAAAAGAAACCCCTCTCTCCCTCACACGCGCCTTACAGCCTACTCCCTCCACCCCAAAAAAAAAATATATCCTAAAATTAGGTGTGACATATTCTAGTATAATAAATCTGGACAAATGGATGTCCAGATTCATAGTATTAGTATGTCACATCCAGTACTATGTTGGTTTTTATGGGACGGATGGAGTATAGGATGAAATGATTAATTTTTCTTATTTTTTTAAAATACTTTGTAATTTTAGAAAACAAACTCTACCATAGCTTGTTTTTTAAAATCTGAACATTTTAGACACGCCACTTCATCTAGAGTGACGAAGCAATATTAGATCGCCACCCGTAGTGGACGTGGTAAAGTAGAGTGACGGAGTAAATGCTGAGACGCCACCCGTAATGATTTGCTTTGCCACACCATCTAGGCTGACATGAGGAAACTACACTATCACGCCAGTCAGAATGACATGATCTAATAATGCACCCGCATCAGTTTAGTTGACATGACATTGTTTTGTCATGCTAGTCTAACTGACTTGGTTAAAATGTCTAGAATCGTAATAAGTTTTGGGAGAGTTTATTTTTGAAATTAAAAATGTTTAAATAATAAGAAAATCATAAAATGAATTGCCCTAATTATGTGCATGTGGGCTGGTAATTGTAAGGTTACTTGGGGTGTTATAGGCTCACACGTGAAAAACTAGTTCACGGAGTTTTAAAAATATATATGAAGCAGAGCAGATATTCAATTTTAATTAACTGTACATATGATTGATATATTAACCCGTCTCGTGATTTAGGCTTGTGATATGCGACAAACAATGGATGGTTTATCTTTACAGATTTTCTCTCGAGATCTGTTATATTCACACATGCCACGTACCATTAACTGGTTCTATACAATGGCACTGTTTTGATCCGAAGGGTTATTTAATAGCTCTTCGGAATCTTGCTATTTAAGAGTATTAAACGTAGATTACTGACAAAACTTATTCCATAATTTTTAGGCTATTTTGCGAGACAAATCTAATGATGTATATTAATCCATAATTTGCTATAGTGATGCTACAGTAATCAGCCGCTAATTATGGATTAATATACATCATTAGATTTGTCTCGCAAAATAGTCTAGGGGTTATGAAATCGGTTTTGTCGATAATCTACGTTTAATAATCCTAAATAGCAAGATTCCGGAGAGCTATTTAATAGTCCGGAGGATCCAAACAAGACCAATGTCGAGTTCTTCTCGATTAACAAATCTGTCCATCCAAAGTTACGACCAATCAGTTATTTTTCTCTGTTTTTTTAATACAGTTAACCTAGACCCTTCTCTTTAAGAGGCCATTCCCTACATATTTATCTCCATGATACTCCCTCCGTTTCAACATATTTGATACAGTTGACTTTTAAGTACGTGTTTGACCATTCGTCTTATTCAAAAAATTTAAGTAATTATTTATTCTTTTCATATCATTTGATTTATTGTTAAATAT